TAAAAACATGTCCGTTTCTCTTTCCCGCTATACACAGCGGAGCGAGGTTCACTGTTTTCACCCACAGCGGATGAATGATTCCCTGGGAAGGTCTGTCTGCGCCAGTCAGTTGACCTGTTTGCAGTGACTGGGGAGGAGGCGGAGAGGGTTTCCTAGGAGAGCCTGGCAACGCTGACCGACTAATGTTGGGCCTCCCGGCTGATCAATGCTGTTGTGGAACCTCACAGCTGACAGCAGACAATGAACAACACACTCGGCTAATAGGCCGTGTGTCCTCCACAACACTAAAGAAGAAGAGAGCTCCCACTATAATGGGGCCTGTTGCTCATGAACTGGTCTCAGCAGGGAGACTGTGGACCTGAGGCCAGGAGTCTACTGGTCAGCCTGAGCTGTCAGGCCTCAGACTCAATACTCTCTGTTAAAAGACATGCATTCAAAATCATGCTTTTAATTCACTTTAAATATTGATTTGAATTATTCCAGAAATGAGTTCCAGTACCTCTGTTAGAGTTTTACTCTGAGACTTTAGGCTTGTTCATTGAATATTTTTTTTTTTTTTATTCCTTTTATAAAGCCTATGTCATTTCAATGCCAGCTCGATTTTAACAGGCTCAAATATGTCCAAGTCCCGCCCACATCCCTCTGTGGACCCCGCCCCCCTCTGCGCGGTGTGAAAATGATCAGAGAGGAGGCAGGTCTGACGTTTAAAGTGTTGCACAGACCCTCTGCTGTCAGAACACCAGCGGAGCTTTCTCTTGAAGGACTACTTTTGATCCTTGTATTCTTGGAAGCAAAATGAAGCGAAGCCACAATTACAGCTCATCGGAAAGCGACCTGGACGACAATGTTGAGGTGGAGAAGGATAGTGGTGACGAAAATGGGTATGTTCAATAGTTTAACAATCATTATTATATCATGGACTATGACACATTTGGACGTTTCATCACACTGACTGCAATATTTCAGCTAATATTATGGCTAATTTGCTATCTTGCAAATGTTGAAGAACTATATGTTGTTGTTTTTTCAATTAAAACAAATGTTTGATTGCTGTCTTACTTTGCAGTCAACTTGATTCTCACGGCTCGATGTCACCCTCCACAACCACGCAAGTTCAAGCCAGAAAGAGGCGCAGAGGGGTAAGTGAACACATTATATCCAGTGCCAAGTTGCGCACTGCTGTTTGATAGATAACACTGTTCTCCTCCACCTATGATCTAAATTTGGCTAAATTGTTTCTTTTACCCTATTGCCAGATTATTGAGAAACGGAGACGTGACCGAATCAATAATAGTCTGTCAGAGTTGAGAAGATTGGTGCCAAGTGCTTTTGAGAAACAGGTAAAGGGCTTATGCTTCCATCCTTTGTACATGGGCGTGCTCATACATGCCTTTTCTAGATGGACACCAGATAGGAAAAAATCAATAAAAGTGAAAATGTTCTTTTTCAATTTCTTTGCAGGGATCTGCTAAATTGGAAAAAGCTGAAATTTTGCAAATGACCGTGGACCATTTGAAAATGCTTCATGCATCTGGTGGCAAAGGTAACATATCATTTATTTGGCTATTAATGATGAATAAATAAATGGATGTTGTAATTTCCCCAATCCAAAATGGTATAAATATGCTGTGAGTCACATGTCTAACCACTTTGCTTTCGTTCCTGACAGGTTTCTTTGAGGCTCATGCTCTTGCTAAGGATTACCGCAGCCTGGGCTTCAGGGAGTGTCTGGCAGAGACAGCTCGCTACCTGAGCATCATAGAGGGTCGGGATGGTGCAGACCCCCTCCGTATACGTTTGGTGTCCCACCTCAGCAACTACGCCTCTCAGAGGGAGGTGCAAACTGGACTGGAACACTTAGCCTGGGGCTCTGCCTACGGGACTGGCCCTGCTCATCTCCCCCACCCCCTCCTCCTACAACACCCCCAGGGCAGGACACCTGCATCCAGAAGCAAAAGTAGCCCACCCTCCTCTTCTTCCTCCACATCTTCCTCCCCCTCCATTGAGGCGTCTGGGACATCCAGACTCACTGTCATGCCCCCCACAGAGACCCTCAGGGTGCCTCCCAACGGTTCGCTGGCCCTCAGTCTGTCTGTGCCAACATCCAAGCTTTCACCACCACTCCTGTCATCCCTCTCCTCGCTGTCGGCCTACCCCCTCTCCTTTGGTGCTTTCCCTCTGGTGTCCCCAATGGCCCTCAGCACAGTGAGCCCCTCCTCCACCCTGTCAAAGCCTTACAGGCCGTGGGGCACAGAGATTGGGGCCTTCTGAATCTAATAACTAGACTGATGGCAACAGCTGAGCTGTGCCCAGCACCACAGACTAGGAAGCACAACCTGCCTCTGTTTTTATAGCAATAAAACACAGAGGAGCAAAGCAAACTGATTTAATTTTATACAAGTATAAAGAATAAGTGGGAGAGGTGTTTTCTCAGTATGTCATTACTCTAAAGAAAATAAAATCTGAATGATTTAATGTTATCCATTGACTAACTTAGTTAACATGCACTGTCTCCAGGCTGCAGACTGATATGGGTTATGAATAGATTTACTGTAAGCATAAGTATAGAGGTTTTATTTTGTAGACCACATACTGAAACTTCTACATTTGTCGAGCATGGATGTCTGTATTTAACATAATGTAGAGTTCTTTAATTCGGTCTGCTTCTTTAGTGGTATCACTAAAGGAACACGTAAAGTGAATAAGCATATTACATTTGCCATTGTTGGAAAAACTAACCACTTGAGAATAGGAAACGTGCATTCTTGTATCTATTTGTAATATTTTTGTACCAATAAATTGAGTTAAAAGTATAAAACGTGGATTCAAACCAAAGTTTTTGTTTCTGTTGCATATACCCAACTCTCCAGATTTTTTTTGTTTTCATAATGAAATACTTTTTTTGTTTTTGTTTACCATGTTGCTACTTAGTCCTTTGTATAATAAGCAGACTAACCTCCCTCCAAGTGATTAGGAATTTATCTTCCCAAATGACATATATTCTGCAGGTGCATTCTTGTTTCAGTACTGTGGAAGTTAATCACGAGATAATAAGGTCCCGGTTATTGACTGAAAGGCAATTCCTTTGCTGTTTGCCAGGTAAGTAACCAAATCGGAGAGCATTGTTGCCCTTATGAATACCCAGGAAATCATTAAGAGCCAGAGGAAATCCTTTACAATGTTGCCCTGACCTCACCAGCTTGGGTTGGTCTGAAACGGAGACAATAGTGTGAACAGGATGGGGACTTTGGAGGAAGGCGGTTAAGAAGTAACAACAATACACAAGACAGCTGGACCAATAAATCACTGTTCAGCTCCTCTGTGTGGTTTCTGGTACAATCTGAGTGACACAGAGGTTTAGGGGTTCACTGTCATATAATGACTGAGTTATATCCATCCATGCAGCACCTCAGGCTTAATAATATATTAAAACAAACCTTGCTCCCTCTAAATGAGGACGCTATTTAAATTCCAAATCATGCTTCTTATGTAAAAAAAAATTAAACACAAATTATCTTAATTATTGTAGATTGTTTTTTCAATATTTGCAATCAGCCGATTGAAGAAATGTAAAAACCAAATCACTGAATCTACAATAATAAAATTAATTTATGTTTCTTCACTATTTGCATTTGGCATATTGTGAACTTTTCCCCTGCTTTTGAATCGGTATCATAGACTGGATTATTGATATTTGCTCTTGCTTGGTTTCTTTGCCTTTAAGAAATCTGCCACTGCCACCTAGTGGAGGAACTTTATCTAGCAGGTGCCAGATGGAGGATCATGGATTCATTCTATTTGTTTATCATATGCTAGTCGAACTGTCAAGGAATAAGCCTGGCCATATTTTGAATGATACCAAAAATTGTGTACAATATCGCAAAATAAATAACATTACACTGCAACATGAATGAAAAATTAACTAGGGGAAGATGGTGTATCATAGGATGTGTAGATAACTGGTTCTTTTATTTATCAGTTAACATTTTCCCTCCTTTAGCACAGAAAAGTATTAGATGGTGCATGCCATGTTCACAGAACCTCAAACCTTTATTCAGCAAAGCTTTCACAGAGAAACACAAGCAGCAGAGAGGATGCAGGCAGATATCAGTGGTACTGTATATTAAAAAGAGACTAGTTCAGTGGGCTGAATGTAAAGCGTCCTGCATCCATTCTCCATCTAATCCCCTAAAGAGAGCAGAGGCTAATGATGCCTTGTGGTAAATTTGCGTTCACACACACACCCACATAGACATACGTTATGTTCACACTGTCAATATCAAGGTGGGACCAACAGCACATCCCACTGTCCAAAACAATATGCATGGTACCAGTACGGTGTCGTAACATTCAAGAGCTTAATGCCCAAATACCGTGTATGAAACAGAGCTTTTGATTTCGCTGAAGATGAATGCATTGAGAAATGCCGTTGTAAGGGTAAGTGGGAATCTGCAAGGGTATAAACAGTTGCTCCCATTGGGCAAAGACATTCTTAATAACAACAAAGCACCTATATCAAGTTCATTATCAAGCTCATTTCAGAGGAGGTGGACACTTTATGGATCTGTGGAGTTTGGCGTATTGGTAAGTTCCAAGCGTGCGTGTCAAGAATGAGTGGGTGTGCGTGAGACAAATACAGAGGGGATACGTTGATATCTCGGGGAGTCTGTGGTGTAGGTACACGACTGTCATTCTTCACAAAGACACAGAAACATAATCATCATGACATCATCAGGAAACACCGCAAATGTCAGCCTACAGCCAACTCACAACACCGACGCCTTTCACAAGAAAATGGTTGTCGAGTCAAATTTCAAGAACTGAAACGTTAATCAATTACAAACAAAAAGTTTGAAATTGATTGAAATTGATTGAAATTGTACAGCGCAGTACAATACAATCTTTGTATGTACTTCACCTATGATAGATAGATAGATAGATAGATAGATAGATAGATAGATAGATAGATAGATAGATAGATAGA